TGCCCAATCTCTGTTTAACACTGATGCATCATCGAAGTAGTCAGCGGCTAATTCATTTAATATCAACTATACACCACCCAAAATCTTTCATAAAATCCCTAAAAATCATAATAAACTTTCCTTCATGTTCCATTTCCAAGCTTGCAAGGATTATAACATGCAAAGTTGAATCACTACCCAAAAAGAGGCATAAATAAAATAGTTAGGTAAAATCTTAAGTTTTATAATAGGTGCTTCCTCTCTAAATAGTTTTAAAGTTCTACCCACACATGAGGCATCTAAGGTCTCAAATCTCTCTTTGAATAACCTATCAATATCTCCAACAACCTGAACAAATATACCTAATTCTTCAACATTTTTCTCCAGCTTATTCTCCAATGAGTTTTCCACTATGAAATCTTCCTTAAAGCTCTCAACAGCCTTTTCTTCCAAATCAATTATAATACAATCATTTTTTTTTTTCATTAGGAAATTTCATAGATTTAAGTACACTAATAGTTACTTCATGATCTTGCACTCTCATAGTTAACTTTCATTTATGAACATCAATCATAGCTTTACTTGTTGACATGAAAGATTTTCCCAAGATAAAAGGTATCTCTCTATTCTCATTCATATCTAAGACAACAAAATCAAGAAGGAAGATAAACTTATCTACCTTAATAAGAATAGCCTCTAGCACCCCCTTAGGATAAATAAATGATATATCAGCAAGCTAAAGGGTGACAACGGTGTGTTGAACCTCTCCAACATTTAATCTCTTGAAAATGGTTAAAGTCACACAAAGCTTTACCACAAAATTTGTGACATAGAATCATGAGAATGGAAAAACTATCATAATCCTTCAATTTCTTAGGAAGCTTCTTTTGAATAATAGCATTACACTACTTAGTCAAAGCTGATGCTTCAAATTCTCCAAGCTTCTTTCTCTTATTCAGAATATCCTTCAAAAACTTAGCATAAGTGGTCATATGTTCTAAGGCTTCTTAAAAGGGTATACTAATAGTTAGTTATTTAAACACTTCTAATAACATAAGAATTTCTTATCAAAATTTTGTTTAATCAACCTCTAAGAAAAAGGTGATGGTAGTCTCTCTACAACCTTCCTAATTGGTCTCTCAATTTCTTTCAATGGTTCAGCTTGTTGAGTAGAGGGTTCAACTTCTAAAGGCTCATTTACACCAAAATCCTTTTAAGGTTGATTTTTATCATTATAAGGATCTCATAAATCCTTCTCACTCCTAAGCTGAATATTATTACATTGCTCTTCAAATTTCTAGCATTCCAAGATAGAATTATGATATGATTTGTTATAGATCAAATTGGCAAGCTGCACTATTTAGTTTTGTATATTTCTCATGGTAATAGCTTTACTCTAAAGTTGAATTTCCATCTAAATTACTATATCTTCAAAGGGTGTCCTCCTATCTCCAGGTAAATATTCTGCTTATAAGCAAAAGGGTAATGCTGTGGCATTGAGATGTTGGGTGTTGTAGTGCTCAACTGTCTAGAGTTTACTATAGGTTATTGAGGATCCAATTTCCTCCTTAATTTAATCAATCTGCATTCCACTGATTGTTACCTCAAACATTATTATTAGACCAACTAAAGTTGGGTTATTCCTCAAACCTAGATTGTAAGTATTAGAATAGGAATTATTTTATCTAGCAATAACATTCACATTCTCAATCTCTTGAATATTACTATCACCAATGGAATTCAAATCATGCTCTTCCAATTGCATAGATGATTCTGATTTTGAACTAACTACAAATATATCCAATTTCTTTAAAATAGAAGCTATCTAAGTAGAACGAATTAACAAAGTAACTTATTCATTAACTGCAGCTATTAAAAGGTCGCTGAAAATTATCTTTAGTCATTTCCTCAATTAATTCATAGGCTTCATCAAATGAGTTAGACATTAAAGATCTTCTTGCTACAATATCAATAATCGACCAAAGAGATCCAACTAGTCCATTGTAAAAAAATATAAATAAACAACTAATTTGATAAAGCATGGTGATGACATTTTCTAAGCATTTTCTTAAATGTCTCTCAACTTTCATAAATTGATGCTCTTTTAAATTGAGCAAAAGATGTGATATTATTCTTATGTTTGATAGTTTTGAAACGTTGGAAATACTTAGCAAGGAATTTATGTATCGACTCATTCCAAGTAATTATAGAGCCTGGGGGCTAGAAATTTAATCACATCTTAACTTTGTCTCTTAGTGAAAATTTAAAAAAAATGATGCCTAATAGTATCATCAATGACACCACTATATTTGAATGTTATGCAGATTTATAAGAAGCTAGTTAAGTATAGAATATGTTCTTCAATAGTACCACCAAACTGAGAATTTTTAGCCATCAGAATTATGATAGGTTTTAACTCAAAGTTATTAGCTTGGATAATAAATCTATTGATACTCTGATGGATTCTATCTCCTATAGGATTGACACATCCTAAGAGGTCTATGATAATCTTAATCTTACAATAGTTCAATCATTACTAAATTTAAAATCTTTTTGGATTTTTTTTATTTTTGTAAGGGTCATTTCAATTTCAGAATCAAACAACAAGAGTTATTTATTAGATTTAATATGCATGCAACAATAATGCAAAAACTAAATAACAGAAAATAAAACTCAACAATAGATTATTTTTTTTTTCTTTTTCAAAAATTATAAAATAAAAATAGTAACACGATACAAGTATGACTAAATATGTAATTAGCTCAATAATATAGCTCAACTTACAATACACATGTTACTTCCCTAGTAACGACACCAAAAACTTTGTGCTCGAGCGTTGCTAGATTAATGCGTGTATGAAATAGAATATCTTGGGGACAATTAATGCTTGTCTTCTTTGATATAGATTGTCCACTAGTTACTCAAGTATACTTATCGATCAAATAATAAATTGATTGAGAGAGTGTCGATCATAGGAGGAAGTATTCCACTAGATTACAATTATACTACTCTTGTCTACTATAGATGCAAGATTTATTCTAATGAACCAAAATCAAATATTTTGGATTCTACCACTTACAGAGAATTAAAAAAGTAAAAAAAGGTAAATGAGGCGATGTTTGTCGAGCTTGTAGGCGTGAAAAAGAGATGTTTATAGTCTTCCTATAATTCTAATGTCTCCATAAAATTTAGAATGTTTAACATTATATGTTTATGCATGTCAACATTCTATTTCAATACTCATATTTGTTCCAATATTCTTTTGTCGAGATAATATATCACACTAGATATTAACTATACATATGATCATTGTATATATTAAATTAAGAATGGCGCTGAGCTTGGCTCCGTCAGGGCGCTAAATTATATGTTATTTTTTTTCGAAGCATCAGTGCTGCAATTTCCTAATTTGGTGCTGAGGCGTTGTAGACGCTGTGGTGCTAGTAATTAGAGCATTGTGCATTTGTTCAACACTTTGAAATTTTTTTTCTTTTTTCTAAACAATTCCTGCACAACATCAACTAAAACACCACATTTTTACTTATTTTTAAGATATTAAAAATGTATAAAATTTACACTTAACAACACCCAATTTCCAAAACTCACGCACTCTTATTCAACACTACCAAGCTTGCCAAATACATACTCAATAATACTAAGCTTCCTCAAAGGCAAGACATCAGAGCTCTACAACCCTCGCTCTCCTCAACTAATCAAGAGGCAACACGTGTTTAGAGTAGTCCATATAGCATTATATTTTTTACATTTTATGGGTTTAGTATTTTTTATAACCCTAAGAATTTTATAAAGAAAGGGTGATGTGAAGCATTTAACACCTTTTCAATATCTTTTGCTTCTTATGATGCTTGAAATGTTTTCTACCCAATTGAATTTTTTAGTATGCATTATAGATTTGCTCTTGTACTTCCATTTTCTTCTATTCTCACTAAGGATTCCATTAATATGCTTGTTAAATTATGTTGGCCTACTTGTCTGTCAGGCTAGTGTTTGTTTATTTTTTGTACTGGCTTAGGTTATAGCAAATTCTCTATGATGAGCTTCAATATCAGTGTTTCGTGATTAAGACGTGTTTGGCGAAGGATTGTTATAGCATAGTTTTTTATGAAAATTTGATGAATAAGCATGGCAGAGGCTGTAAAATCAACCCAAAGGAACACAAAAATAAGACAAGAAATCAATCAACCTCAAGTTGAATCATTTTAAGGTGATCTATTTCCATGAATTCTAGATATGTAAGACATTTGAAGTTTCCTTTACTTCATCTACAAGTGACAATCTATTATGTTGGGCTAATTTAGCAAAGCTATAGAGGGCTAATTGAACCATAAGATTGTAAGTCCTATAAATCCATGCCTATCTTTCATCAAAATAGATACACGATAGCATATCATAGTAATTTATTTTTACCTTGTCGATTTTGCTATGCAGTACCAACGATTCTCACCGTTCATGAACTAATCACTAATATGAACCCAGATCTTGATGAATTCATTCCATGAAAACTTTCACCATTACAGATGTGTAGGTTTTGAGGCCCAAGATACACTTTCAGAGAAAACGGGCACTGGTATATAGAAGCAAAAGGTGTTCACTCACTTGATGATATTAACTAGCAATTGAAATGATCTAGCAAGTTAAAGAAAGAGCATAAATAGCACACATTATATGTTCAATAAATTGTAGTATTTATAGTTGGAATCTGATCACCTAATGCAAATAGAAACATACTAAATCGGTTCGGAATAAAACGCAGCTCATTTTGATCTATTTGTTAGGAGTTTTGACTATCAACGAAAAGATCATGAGTTTGAAGTCTGCGTATATGATATACATGTGAGTTTGCCTTAATTGATCCAAATATCACCAAAAAACCTATTATCAGCATAACGTAAAATTTCCACAGGGTGCATAGAAATTAGTTGCTTCCTTCACGAAGAGAGGACTGCAGAACACGTCCAGATATTTCTCAACCCAAAATTCATCAGTTATAAGAAAAGATGTAATAAAAAATGATTCAATTGAATCACCATCAAGCATTTGAAATGATAATCACATAGAGACAAAGATATGCATCAATTCTATCTTCACATATCCCAACGGAAGAAAATATCGCAATTCTAATGATAAGCATAGAACCCTGTCCTAATGCAAACTAGTTCATTAATATTGCACATACTCGGGTATTAACAAAACAAGGCCATCTCTGCTTAAAGATAAAAAAAGGTTAGAAAACCTCATACATTAAATCAAACGACCCTCTAAAAAAAATCCACCATATTCTGCCGCAAGAGGAGATTTTCACACATCACTGGTACTGGACCACTGGTTACGTTTGGCATCAGTCTGGGAGTTTCAATCGATCAAAAAGAACCATAAAACTCTGAGTAGGGCTGGGTGGAATAAACACAAACCCTAGCTCCGTGCCTCTGATATGTGGCCCAAATCCCTGAGAAAAAATGGAAGTTGGATTGGAAAAACCAAAGCTTGCACAGATAAATCATAAATCATGATTTTTCAAGCAACTCTCTATGTGGACTATATAGAGAATCGCTAACAAAATATCATTTCAATTTATAACAAGAAGACCTCTGAGATAGCAAACGAAATCTAATCTCACAGAATAGGATTTGATTTCAACGATGTAAATTAGTGACAAGATGTGAAATTATGAGACAACTTTTCCAATGGCAAGCAACTATACAATATCCATCATGTTAAACCATCACCTCTCATTGCAACTAAACATGTGACATAACTCTAGGAACATGAAACTACCTTGCCATTGAGTTGCACTAACATGCCATCAACCCACTGAGGATTCTTAAATCCAGGCTCTGCCATTCGTCCTTGACCCCTGTAACTGGCAACCTACAACAAAAAATTTTTTACTCATTGTGGCGAACAAGAACTATAACATTTTAATTGGCTAGTTCGATTATAAATCTCAAACTGCTGCTTCACAGTTACAGAAAACTGTACAGCAGCAATTTCAATCCAAAAATTTTAGGTTCTAGCAAAGAAGGGTAGCAATACCACACCAAGCTCCTCTGGGTAGGCTCCACGATTCACAAGACGATTTCCCTTACCAATTCTGGCACGAAATGTGGCCTATCAAAAAAAAATGGACAACTATAATCACTACAGAAACATAAATGTAAGTTAACTATGAGACTGGTAAAGAATGATACGAAGTTGATCACATGCCTGCCCAGCAGGAACATTCAGATCCCCAGTCAATTTAACAGCTTCCACATATTCAAAAAACTCCATTTCTGAGTCAGTTTCAGCTGAGTCGTTCCAGTGACCATATTTATGCCGTAGTTGTATTACTTCAGTGCCAAATGGACCAAAAGCTCCAACAAATAAACCTGCAATTGGAAAGACATAATGTCTAAACTAAAACAGAATAGTACAGCAGATGCTGAAAAACTCCTGGGGAACCTTACCCTCAAATGGATCTATACCACTATTATCAACTATTATCCGATTAAAGACAGTTGCCTTGGACAATCTATTTCTTCTCTGAGCTTGGCTAACTGCAAATTTAACCACCTCCCGAAGATCTTTAGAGACCTGTGAAAGTTAAAAAGATGGCACCACAGATACAAAAGAAATTTGACGAAAAAATAGCGATATCATTAAGCATGTTGTGAAAGAAGAAATATTCTCGGATGTTAAAGACCCCTTCATATGTTCTTGATTGAGATTTTAAGAAAATATCTTAAGATGAACTAACATGCTTATTTTTTCTGCGTACTTTACCTTCAGTTTAGTAGTGTTTTAAGAAAATATCTTAATAAGGCTAAAGACGAGCCAAAAGTTTTTTATTTCAGCCTTCACTACACTCATACCACAAAACCAACTTCCATACCAACAATCAATAAGAATTCGGATGGTCTGCTCGGTCCATCCCTAAAAGCTTTAGTAGAATGGCTCCTCATAATTAATGCTTTCCATGTGCATAAACACATAGAACCGTGTCTTCGTAGGCCCTAATTAAGAATGCAGGTGCTCACCAAGTGCATGGATCAAAAAAACAAAACTGACAATTTTAATCACTGCAACGTTGCTGTTCATGTGGGGTTTATGCCACAATCCTTTTTATAATCAATCATACCGAGTCAACTGTTACCAATTACTATCATTATATATATATATATATATACCCCCAATTATTCATATCTAATCAATTTAATCCCAAAATATCAAGTTGCTCCAATTTTGTCCGTCGACTATACAAAATTGATCCAAAATGGCCTATTTGGAACTAAATTGGGAATAATTTTATGTCAAAATTCTAGTTTGATATTTTGGACCACTTTTAGGTTAAGAGACTAAATTGAAGCAACATGATACTCTGCAATTAAATTGATCACACACGAATAGTCTATATTACTCACAAATGAACAAATAGATGGTAAAGAAAGCATCAACCATCAACTCCTCGGTCATTCATATTATCTCCATCTACAAAATCAGAAGTTCATATTATCTCCCAATCAAATCAATCTTCATCATCAATTAAATCATCATCCTTCCCCTCACTTTCTTGAATTACAACAAAAGAAAAAGGAGGCTGAGATCAAGTAGCCCTTAATAGGGATGATGTTATGCCTTCATCCTATGCAAGCGGGAGCCAGCCATCCACTTCTGACCTGCTGAACCCAGCAGAGCAGCTGAGAGGGAACCAAAACAGCAGGGAAGGGATTTGAAACCTATAGTGAGGTCCAAGGGAGTTAATATTCACATGCAAGGAGAAATATTTAGAAATCTTTTAATTGTGTTTAATGGGGTTTATAGCTATTTAAAGGGGTTTTTTGGCTAGGATTAGAAGTTGTATTTGTGCTGTAGTTTTTCTGTGTTTGAGAGTTCCTAGCGGAGCCTAAGGTTGTGGGGGTGATCTATCTCTCAAATAGTAGATCAATTGTATCTTGCATTGCTTTTGAAGAAGAAATCCAAATTCAGCTCCTAAATTTGTATTATTGCACTTTATTCCCATCTCCTTTGCTGATTTTTACCACCAAAATGCATCAAATTGGTATTAGAGCAAGGTTTCTTGGAGACAATGACATCAAAGAAGGTGGATGCGTTAGAATGTGAAATGGAGCAATTCAAATCTAGAGTGATGAAGAAATTCTCAACAATTAAAGGAATATTTTTAACCATGGAGAATCAGATGGAGAGCCGATTTGAGGGTTGGAGGAGATGATGAAGAAACTCATGGAAATGTAATCCAAAAATCCACCGACGATTCCAATTGCTAATCCTCACCACAATTTAGTCGGGATTCCCTTGGGAAAATCTAAAAGAAAAGAGATCAAACGGAAAAATTTCGACGAAGATAATTCATTTCATCAAGAGCCACCTTGACACCGGACGACCATGACCCGATCTCGTCTACGGTGAGACACTAAGCAGCAAGGCAGAGTTCTGCCCGAGCTGCATAAATGGAGGTGACGGAGAACACCATCGGGCCTAACTAAGGATGTGAATACCACCACCTGACACCACGTCAGGATACAGAACACAATAAGGGGAACTCAAAACTTGAGATAAAAACCATATATCCTTTATTAAACACTTATCCAGTTATTTATAGCCATTATAAGTCACAGTGACGGCTATACAAAGAAAAGAAAGAATACAAGAAATGAAATACAGGTATCTGAAGTTTTTATAGCAGAATGGTTACTGATGCAAACATAGCTCCGGCGTCAGTCTACCGAGGTAGGTGGAACTTCAGGTTCGAAGTAAGGAGACAAATCAGCAACATTGAATGTGGCATAATACATTATACTCGTCCGGCAGATCGATCTGGTAAGCATTATCACTAATCTTTTTAATAATGCGAAATGGTCCATCTGCTTTAGGTTTGAGTTTGCCAAATGCACCCGGTGGAAACCGATCTCGTCGTAAGCGTATACATACTTGATCTCCTTCGTTGAACTTAGCAGGTTGTCGCGTTTTGTTGGCAGTGTTTCGACACTTTTGGTTATGCTTGTGAATCAGGTCTTGTACGTTTTAGTGTAAATGTTGAATTTCTTTGTTGCGCTGGTCTCCCTCAATGCTGTAATGTTTGTTTTGGACTTGGGGAATTAAGTCAAGAGGAGAAGAGGGGTTAGTACCATAAACCACATGGAAGGGGCTATGACCTATGGCTTGATTGATGGATCGATTGAAACCGAACTCGATCAGTGGTAAAATAAGATCCCATTGTTTCATATTTTTCCCCACGAAGCATCTGAGAAGGTTGTCGAGACTTCTATTAACGGTGTCCGTTTGACCGTTGGTTTGAGGATGTGCCGTTGAACTAAATTGAAGCTTGGTACCGAGCTTACCCCATAGTGTTTTTCAAAAATGACTTAAGAACTTAACATCGCGATCAGATGTTATGGTTTTGGGGATGCCGTGCAAACGTACAATTTCTTTAAAATACAAATCAGCTATATGAGTAGCGTCAAGTGTTTTATTACAAGGCACAAAATGCGCCATCTTGGAAACCGGTCGAAGACCACCATATTGGAGTCTTTGTTCTGTTGGGTTCAGGGAAGGCCTAGAACAAAATCAAGACTGACGTCAATCCAAGGACCTTCGAGAACGGGTAGAGGGGTGTACAGTCCTAGTTTTTTATCGTGAGTGCTCGCAATCACACAAATTCGACACCGCTTTATAAAGCGGTCGACATCCTGAGCTAGAAGGGGCCAAAAGAAATGTTCTTTGATTAAAAATAGAGTCTTATCTCTTCCAAAGTGACCGGCAATTCCTGCTTCATGGCATTCACTGATGATGGCTAGTCGCATAGAGCCTTCAGGGATGCAGATCTAGTTTCCTAAGAAAAGAAGATCTTGTTGAATGTGGTATAACTGGTGAGGGCTATGTTGGCATTTAGCCCAAATGGGGCCAAAATCTGGATCATGGGGATACACGTCTTTGAGCAAGTCGAATCCAATTACTTTAGTTTACAAAGTTTGGACTAAGAACAGCCGCCGGCTAAGTGCATCTGCACTTGGTTATGCTTGCCCGATTTATGCTTAAGCATGAAATGGAAGACACCCATATATTCTACCCAGGACGCATGTCTCCCTTTTAAATTTTTTTTGGCTATTAATGTAGCGTAAAGCTTCATGATCTGAAAACATAATAAATTCATTGGGTAAGAGATAATAATCCCAATGATGTAACGTCCGGATTATGGCATAGAATTCCTTGTCATATACTGAATATTTTCATCGGGTCTTGTTGATCTTCTCGCTAAAGAAAGCAATCGGATGGCCCTTTTGACTTAGAACAGCTCCTATCCCCACATTAGATGCATCACAGTCCAGTTCGAAGATGTCATTAAAATTGGGTAAGGCGAGGACTGGTGCGGAGGAGACAACTAATTTGAGTTGCTCAAAACTGTTGGCGGCAGCTTCATCCCACTGGAATTTATCAACTTTAAGTAGCTCAGTGATAAAGGCAGCTACAATACTAAAGTTCCTTATGCATCGGTGGTAAAAGGAGGCCAACCCAAGGAATTGTCTGAATTTGGTCACGGATCGGGGAGCTTGCCAATGAAGAATAGCTTCAACTTTGGTGGGGTTTGCTTCAATACCGAAGGAGGACATAATGAATCCTAAAAAAGATACCTTGGGGGTCAGGTATTGGCATTTTTGGGGGTTGGCATAAAGTTGCTGCTTTCGGAGGATGTCAAACACATTTTTTAAATGTATCAGATGTTCTTCCACCGTGGGGCTATATATTAAAATGTCGTCAAAATAGACGACTATATATTTACTCAGCAGAGGTTGGAAAATTTGGTTCATGAGTCTCATAAATGTGCTGGGGGCGTTGGAGACCCCAAAGGGCATCACAGTCCACTCGTATAACCCTTCTCGCGTTTTAAATGCGGTTTTCCACTCGTCGCCTGGCCGGAGGCGAATTTGGTGATAGTCGCTTCTTAGATCAATCTTAGAAAAAATAGCAGCCCCGTGTAGCTGATCAAAAAGGTCATCGATGCGAGGTGTTGGAAACCGGTACTTGATTGTAATTTTGTTGATGGAGCGACTATCTATGCACATACGGAACGTACCATCTTTCTTTGGGACCAGTAAAGCAGGGAAGGCACACGAACTAGCACTAGGACGAACAAATCCTTTGGCAATCAATTCATTGACTTGGCGTTGTAGTTCAGAATGTTCATCTGGGCGTAGCCGGTACGCAGGTCTATTTGGGAGAACAGACCCTGGTATTAATTCCATGTGATGTTGTATGTCGCGTAATGGTGGTAATCCTTCAGGTAAGTCTTTGACTAGGACATCCTCGTAGGTTCGCAACAAAGGACGAACTGCTTCCGGAACTAGAGTTTGGCCTTCATTTTCTTCCACTAGAAGGATGAGAAAACCCTCCTGACTAATTCTCAACTCCTTAAGAAATAAGCTGCAGTTAACTATGGTTGGAGCTGCGGAGTCTTCTGGTTCTTTGGTCTGTAATGGTACAAGCACAATTTGTTGGTGGTTATGTAGAAAAGAGTAAGTATTGGTAGTACCGTGATGTGTAGTGTTCTTGTCGAACTGCCATGGTCGACCGAATAG